TGCAACCGGCGCTGGCCCTTCTGGGGTGGCCGCTGTCGTGCCGGGCCTCATGTTTCGCATATCGCTCGTGTCGCTCGTCCCGTCGGATTTTGTTTTTAACGCATCGCTCGTGTCATTCGTAGAAGACAATGAATTCGTATTACCAAATCTTTTTCCCTGACAAGCGATACGAGCGATGCGTGAAACATCGGGTCCGATAGGACGAGCGACATGAGCGATGCGTGAAGACTGAGGCGCCAGTGGGCCGCGGCGCACCTGGCGCGTCTGGCGCACTCGGCGCACTTGGCTGCGTGATTGTCGCGGCGAGAACCCTTCGCACACCCGCAGGATAATCTGCACCTCGCGGCGCCCAGTGGTCTTGCGGCGGACCATCTTGGTTGGCAGTGCGCTTGGCGGCGGTGCGCGCAAGTAATGCGGGGGGCCTGGTACCCTAAGCAGAATGGCCTACAGCGACGTTCGGGCTAACGCAAGCTTGCAATCAGGGCCGTACCGCGTACATCATGCGGGAGTTACATGTTTCGATGCCCCCTGGCGTCTGCCTGGCAAGGCCCCTTCCAGTTGTCTTCGACGCCTGCTGGTCGGGCAGAAATTCCTGCCCGCAGATTCGCACAGTCTACTCGCACATGGCGGCGGAACCTAAGACATGAGGCCGTAGAGGAAAACAGTTAGTGGCCACTCCCCCGTCCCCCCAAAACTCAAAGTTGGCGCGCTCGGGGAAGACTGCGGTCGAAGTGCAGCTCATTCAACTTACCGCCAACATTGATCACTGGGGGAGGGCATTGACAGATGAGTGCGGCATAAGTGTTCGCTGATTTCTTCCGAGGCCTGCGGGCGCGCCTCGGGGTAGGCCTCCAGGTAGACCCGCTCTAGGTGCTTCTGCTTGGCCCGCAGTCGGTGGCGCTGGGCGGCCGCGGCGAGGGACGTGCCGCGGGCTCTCCGCGGGCCAGTGGGGGCTAGGCTTCGTCGCTCGGACGCCGGGGCTGGCGGGGCCGCGGCGGCTGCAGATTGCTGTGTGCAACCAGTGCTGGCCCTTCTCGGGTGGCCGCTGTCGTGCCCCACTTCATGTTTTGCGTATCGCTCGTATCGTTCGTCCCATCGGGTCCGATTTTTCACGCTTCGCTCTTATCGTTCGATAATTCTTAGTATCAGAAACATAGGGTTCAGTGGGACGAGCGATGTGAACGATACGTGAATAATAAGGTGCCAGTGGGATGCGGCGCACCTGGTGCATCTGGCGCACTCGGCGCACCTGGCTGCGTGATTTTCACGGCGAGAACCCTTCGCATCCGCAGGATGATCTGCACCTCGCGGCGCCCAGTGGGCTTGCGGCAAACCATCCTTGTTTTCAATGCGCTTGGCGGCGGTGCGCGCAAGTAATGCGGGGGCCTGGTACCTTAAGCAGAATGGCGTACAGCGACGTTCGGGCTAACGCAAGTGGGCAATAAGGGCAATGCCACGCACATCATGTGGGAATTACATGTTTGGATGCCCCCGGGCGACTAAGGCCGCATAGCCGCCGAGGGTTTGATCACGCTAGCGGCCACGCGTCAGATCGAATGGACCTCCCCACTTGTCATATTATGCGCTTCTGTGCTTCAGAGAAAGGAAGAAAAGGACGAGGAGGGAGGAGGAAGAGGAGGAGGAGGAGGAGGAGGAGGAAATGGAGGGGGTGGAGGAAGAGGAGGAGGAGGAGGAGGACGAGGAGGAGGACGAGGAGGAGGAGGAGGAGGAGGGGGATGTGGATGAAGAGGCCTTTTTTTCCTCCTGCCGCTCCTTACGCATCCTGCTTCTTCTCCTCACCTCGCCCTTGCCCCTGCCCTTCGTGGGCCCCCCCGGAGCCCTTCAGATCGCTCTGGGATCCTTTAGAATAGCTACAGCCTCCGAAACAATTCGAACACGTTCGAGCACCTCCCTTCTCCTCCTCCTTCCCCTCCTCCTCCTCCTCCTCCTCATCCTCTTTTCCTCTCTTCCTCTTCTTTATCAATGTTGACTCAAGCCTGACACATCCTCGGTCTTCCATATCGCGATCCATTGCACCGTACTGCCTCTCATCTTTCCCGTGGCCGAAACATGGCGGAGACTACCAGCGGTGGCTTTTCCCTCATGCAGGTGCTGAAGACGTTGGCGCTATGCGCAGGCTACATCGCGCTGAGCGGTGGTCTCATCAACTTCAACAAGTACCTCATGCACAAGGGGCGCTTCCCGCACCCTATGGCGCTGACGGCCATGCACATGTTCGCCAGCCTGGTGCTCACCTCGCTGGTGCTGCTGGTGAGGCCATCCGCCATGCCAAGCGTGGAGGCGTGCAAGGGGAAGATGACGAAGCTCTACAAGTATCTGGCGCCAATCGGCTTCCTCTTCGCAATCATGCTGTACGGCTCCAACAGGGCCTACCTGTACTGCAGCGTCGCGTTCCTGCAGTTCATGAAGGAGGCTAACGTCGTGCTCGTCTTCACCTTCTCCGCGCTGGCTGGGCTGCAGTTCTTCAATCGCCAGCGCGTCATCGTGATCGCTTGGGTGATCCTGGGCTCCTCCCTCTGCGTTCACGGGGAGCTGAACTTCGTGTTCATCGGCTTCGCGCTGCAGGGCGTGTCCCAGCTCGCCGAGTGCGCGAGGGCTGTCGTCGCCGAGCTCGTGCTCACGGGGAGCGAGTTCAAGCTGGATCCGCTCAGCTACACCTTTTTCATGGCCCCCGTGTGCCTGATCGTCCTTGGCATCGGAAACGTCATCACGTGGGACCACTCTGTCATCACCGACCTGGCGGTGTGGTGGCCGTACCTCATCCCGAACGCCTGCATCGCGTTCTGCCTCAACGTGATGATCGCACAGGTGATCAAGGAGACCTCGGCGGTGGGGTTCATCATCACCGGAGTGGTGAAAGACATCTGCCTGGTCGTCTTCTCTTCGGTGTTCTTCCACGATTCGATCACCGCTAATCAGTGGCTCTCCTTCTCCGTCACGCTCAGCGGGGTCTTCTTCTGGTCGTTCATGAAGGTCTTCCCAGACCACGCGGCGGTGAAGACTTTCGAGAAGATGGTGGGCATTGGCTACGGCCCGTTCCCAGGCGCGCCGCTGGGCAAGAAGCAGATCGACGGCGAGGCCACACCGCTGCTGGGGGAGAAGAAGGTCTGATCGGCTCGGTGCCCGCCCGCGTCACGTTTTTCGGGCCCACTGCCGCCACCGTTAGGCAGTTCGGAGCTTGGTGTCAGATGAAAACAGGTATGCGTGTCTATGTGTGTAAATATGTATGTATTTACATAGGTATAGTCCGTATCTGCTTTGCTCTTACGTTGCGCAGCACCTTTGAGATATCCGCTTATCTGTCATGCAGGTACACATTCACATGTATACAGGAATGTACCTAACAGTGTGTTTGGAGTGTGTGTGTGTGTGTGTCATTGTGATTGCGTGTGTGACAACCGCGGCACAGACTTGTCTTCAGTGCATGTGCGTGCCATACTTTGGTTGCTGGTATGACCGTTGTAGTGGCTACAGCACATCGCATTAGCTGTGTGCGTGAACAAGCAGATCGATCCCACCGGTGTTGGTTGTTTACAAGGTGAGGGTGGGGGGGTGCATCCATCCCCGTCTTAGTGCTTCCCTGCCAAGATTGTTCCGTTTCTTTTAAATATTGGGAAGGCCTGGCGGCCGTGGCTGCCGACCCGAAAGGGGGACGACGACCGCGACGGCGACGTCGGCGGCCACGACGACGACGCTGACGTGGGGCAGAGCGCGCTCGTAGGCCTTTCGGGGGCAGCTTTGGGCCTCTGGGGAGCAATTTTGGGGCCTCTTGGGAGCCTCTTGGAAGTCGCTTCGGGCTTCCTGGGGGCCTCTTGGGGGCCTCTTGGGGCCTCGTGGGGGCCTCTTGGGGGCCTCTTGGGGCCTCCTGGGAGCTTCTGGGGCCGAGGGCTCGAAATGTTAGTGCGGGCTCCCGTGTGGGCACCCTCTTGGAGCTGTTTCGGGGGCCTCTTGGGCCGTCTGGGAGGCCTCTAGGGCGATCGTAAGGGCCCTCTCGGGTTGTTTTGGGGCCGTGTTGGATATCCTTTCGGGGCCTTGGTGTGGCTTTCGGAGAAATACTTCTGAGCCTGTAAGCCGAATCTGTTGGAATGCAGAGCACGAACACCACTATCGCAACACATTTGATTTGGATCAGTGCTAGGCGATGGGGGGGAACTGTCGTTTAAGCTGTCGGCAGCACGCGCTTCGTCCTGTTACTGTTGAATTACCCCTGCATGATGGTCCCCACCAACCAACTTTGAATTTGGCTCCCTTTCCAGCTGACATCAGACCGACTCGTTGCGATTTGCTTTCGTTAGCACCAGGAAGACAAGTCTAGACTATCATCTCGCCCGGGAACATATTTGAACCATGTGCAGTTTTCGTATGCCCAGTTTGTCCTTTAAAGACTAAGAAAGAATGGTGCCCATCGGTACTGAAACCTCCCTCCAAGACGCCGAGGCACGGCGACCCCCAAATACATATTTCCAAACCATGCGAAGGGCGGCCCGGTCCAGAGTTCCCGATACTATCACGTATGACCGGGCCGCTACGGCATACCAGGTTGGGTCACGCTCGAACGAACTGGGTACTGTTCAAGGCCGCATCCCTGCCGAGGGTTTCAACACGCTAGCGGCCAGGCGTCTGATCAAGAGTGAACTTCCCCACCTGTCACATCATGCACTTCTGTGACTCAAGGAAAGGAGGAGAAGGACGAGGAGGAGGAGGAGGAGGAGCAGGAGAAAAAGGAGGAGGAGGAGGAAAAGGAGGACGAGGAGGAGGAGGAGGAAAAGGAGGAGGAGGAGGATGTGGAGGAAGAGGCCTTCTCCCCGTGCGCTCCTTACGCATACTGCTTCTTCACCTCACCTCGCCCTTGCCCCTGCCCCTCCTGCCCCTCCCCCCCCTGGAGCCCTTCAGATCGCCCTGGGACCCCCTAGAAAAGCTAAAACCTCCGAAACAATTCGACCACTTTCGAGCACCTATCTTCTCTTCCTCCTTCCCCTCCTCCTCTTCCTCTTCCTTCTCCTCCTCCTTCTCCTCCTCCTCCGTATCAATGTTGACTCAAGCCTGACACATCCTCGGTCTTCCATATCGCCATCCAGTGCACCGCACTGCCTCTCATCTTTCCCGTGGCCGAGACATGGCGGAGACTACCAGCGGTGGCTTTTCCCTCATGCAGGTGCTGAAGACGTTGGCGCTGTGCGCAGGCTACATCGCGCTGAGCGGTGGTCTCATCAACTTCAACAAGTACCTCATGCACAAGGGGCGCTTCCCGCACCCTATGGCGCTGACGGCCATGCACATGTTCGCCAGCCTGGTGCTCACCTCGCTGGTGCTGCTGGTGCGGCCGTCCGCCATGCCAAGCGTGGAGGCGTGCAAGGGGAAGATGACGAAGCTCTACAAGTATCTGGCGCCAATCGGCTTCCTCTTCGCAATCATGCTGTACGGCTCCAACAGGGCCTACCTGTACTGCAGCGTCGCGTTCCTGCAGTTCATGAAGGAGGCTAACGTCGTGCTCGTCTTCACCTTCTCCGCGCTGGCTGGGCTGCAGTTCTTCAACCGCCAGCGCGTCATCGTGATCGCTTGGGTGATCCTGGGCTCCTCCCTCTGCGTTCACGGGGAGCTGAACTTCGTGTTCATCGGCTTCGCGCTGCAGGGCGTGTCCCAGCTCGCCGAGTGCGCGAGGGCTGTCGTCGCCGAGCTCGTGCTCACGGGGAGCGAGTTCAAGCTGGATCCGCTCAGCTACACCTTCTTCATGGCCCCCGTGTGCCTGATCGTCCTTGGCATCGGAAACGTCATCACCTGGGACCACTCTGTCATCACCGACCTGGCGGTGTGGTGGCCGTACCTCATCCCGAACGCTTGCATCGCGTTCTGCCTCAACGTGATGATCGCCCAGGTGATCAAGGAGACCTCGGCGGTGGGGTTCATCATCACCGGAGTGGTGAAGGACATCTGCCTGGTCGTCTTCTCCTCGGTGTTCTTCCACGACTCGATCACCGCTAATCAGTGGCTTTCCTTCTCCGTCACGCTCAGCGGGGTCTTCTTCTGGTCGTTCATGAAGGTCTTCCCAGACCACGCGGCGGTGAAGACCTTCGAGAAGATGGTAGGCATTGGCTACGGCCCGTTCCCAGGCGCGCCGCTGGGCAAGAAGCAGATCGAGAGCGAGGCCACGCCGCTGCTGGGGGAGAAGAAGGTCTGATCGGTGCCCGCCCGCGTCACGTTTTTCGGGCCCACTGCCGCCACCCTCAGGCAGTTCGGAGCTTGGTGTCAGAGGAAAACAGGTATGCGTGTTTATGTATATTCTCCAATCAGAGCTTGCCTCTGTAGGCGTCTTAGCGGATTCATATGGTTAGGTGTGCTTTGCCGCCGATTTCCGCGGCCCGCCCGGGTACCCAGGTGCCCGGGTGCCCGGGTGCCCAGGTGCCCTGGTGCCCGGGTGCCCTGGTGCCTTATAGCCCTATGGCCCTATATCCCTTTCGACCTATAGCCCTATAGCCCTATAGCCCTCTGGCCTTATAGCCCTATCGCCCCATAGCCCAATAGCCCTTTTGCCCTGGAGCCCTCTTGCCCTATAGCCCTATAACCCGAAAGCCTTGTAGCCTTATAGCCCTAGAGCCATATCGCCCTTGAGCCCTAGCTCAATAGCCCTGGAGCCCTGCTGCCCTATAGCCCTACAGCCCTATAGCCCGAGAGCCCTATAGTCCAAGAACCCTATAGCCCCAAAGCCCTAAAGCCCAATATCCCTATAGCCCCATAGCCCTATAGCCCTATAGCCCTACAGCCTAATAGCCCAATAGCCCTATAGCCTTACATAACTATATCCCTATAGCCCTATAGCCCTGCAGCCTTATAACCTCATCGTCCTGTGGCCCTAGAGCCCTATAGCCCTAAAGCTCTGTATGCCTATAGCCCTATAGCCCTATCGCTCTATATGCCTATATCCATATAGCCCCCAAACCCGATGGTCCTATAGCCCAATAGCCCCATAGCCCTATAGACTCATAGCCCTACGGCCCTACAGCCCAAAAACCCCATAGCCCCAGAGCCCCATAGCCCCATAGCCCTCTCGCCCTACAGCCCTTTTGTCCTATGGCCCTCTTGCCCCATAGCCCTGGATACCTTCAGCCCTATGGCCCATAGCCCTCTTGTTCCATAGCCCTTTTGCCCCATAGTGCCATCGCCCTCTTGCCCAATAGCCCCATAGCTTTATAACCCTAAAAAGACTTTGATGTTTTTCCCTCCCGTATCATGTAGATGTATGTACCTGTACATATGCTTTTACATACATGTATTTGTGGCCAGTGCCTTTTTGCTTTGAGCTTACGGTGCGCAGCACTTCTAGACATCCGTCTTTTTTTTGTAATGCATGTGTCCTTTCACACATTAATATGTATATATATATGAACTGTGTACAGACAGGCATACACACAACAGTGTGTTTGGTGTGTGTGTGTGTGAATGACAGCCATGGCCTATGCTTGTCTTCAGTGCATGTGCGTGCCATATCTTGGTTGCAGTTATGACCGTTGTAGTGGCTTCAGTACATCACATTAGCTGTGTGCGTGACTCAGCAGGTCGATCCCATCGGTGTTGGTTGTTTACAGGGTGGGGATGGGTGAGTGCGTCCATCCCCGTCTTAGTGCTTCCCTCCCGAGAGTGTTCCCTTTCTTTTCAATATTGAGAATACCTTACGGCCGGTGCCGCCGACGACGATGACGCTGACGTGGGGCAGAGTCCTGTAATACTTCGCGGGGCCTCTTCTGAGCGCGCTCGTAGGCCTTTGAAGGCAGTTCTGGGACCTCTTGGGAACATCTTGGGGGCCTCTTTGGAGCCTCCCGGCGGTCCCTTCGGGCTTCCTGGGGGCCTCTTGGGGGCCTCTTGGGGGCCTCTTGGGGCCTCGTGGGGGCCTTTGTGGGGGCCTCTTGGGGGCCTCCTGGGGCATCCTGGGAGCTTCTCGGGGCCGAGAGCTCGAAATGTTCGTTCGGGCTCCAGTGTGCGCACCCTCTTGGAGCCGTTTCGGGGGGCCTCTTGGGCCGTCTGGGAGGCCTTGAGGGCGGTCTCAGGGCCCTCTTGGGTCGTTTTTGGGGCCGTTTTGGATTTGTTTTTTGAGCCTTGGTGTGGCGTTCGGAGAAATATTTGTGAGCCTGGAGTATAAGCCGAATCTGTTGGAACGCAGAGCACGAACACCGCTATCGAGGCACATCTGGTTTGGATTAGTGCTAGGACGATGGGGGGGGGGCAACTGTCGGCTAAGCTGTCGGCAGCACGCGCGTCGTTCTGTTAGTGTTGAAGTACTACTGCATGCTGGTCCCCACCAGCCAGCTTTGAATCTGACGCCCTCTCCATATGACAGAGCCGTCTCGTTGAAATTTGCTTTCGGTAGCACTGGGCATCAAAGTCTACAATAGACATTTCGCCCGAGAACATGTTCGAAACACGTGCAGTTGTCGTATGCGCAGCCTGTCCTCTTAAGACTCGTAAGCATGGCTCTTATCGATAGCGAGACCTCCCTCCAAGACACCGAGGCACGACGACTCCCACGTACATATTTCAAAAACTATGCGAAGGGCGGCCCAGTCCAGAGTTCTTGATACAGCTTGCGTGCGAAGACGTCAAGCCTATGTCCTATCACGTATGGCTGGACCGCTACGGCATACCAGGTTGGGTCACGCTCGAACGAACTAGGTACTGTTCAAGGCCGCATAGCTGCCGTGGTTTTGATCACGTTAGCGGCCATGCGTCTGATTAAGTGTGATCCTCCCCACCTGTCATATCATACACTTCGGTGCCCCAGGAAAAGGAGGAGAAGGACGATGATGATGATGATGAGGAGGAGGAGGAGGAGAAGGAGGAGGAGGAGGAGGAGGAGGAGGAGGGGGGGAGGAGGAGGAGGAGGAGGAGGAGGAGGAGGAGGAGGAGGCGGAGGAGGAGGGAGGAGGAGGAGCGAGGAGGAGGAGGAGGAGAGGAGGAGGAGGAGAAGGAGGTGGATGAAGAGCCCTTCTCCTCCTGCCGCTCCTTACGCATCGTGCTTCTTCTCCTCCCTTCGCCCTTGCCCCTGCCCCTCCTGCCCCCCCCCCCCGGGAGCGCTTGAGATCGCCCTTGGACCCCTTAGAAAAGCTACAGCCTCCGAAACAATTCGACCACGTTCGAGCACCTATCTTCTCTTCCTCCTTCCCCTCCTCCTCCTCCTCCTCCTTCTCGTCCTCCTCCGTATCAATGTTGACTCAAGCCTGACACATACTCGGTCTTCCATATCGCGATCCATTGCGCCGTATTGCCTCTCATCTTACCCGTGGCCGAGACATGGCGGAGACTACCAGCGGTGGCTTTTCCCTTATGCAGGTGCTGAAGACGTTGGCGCTGTGCGCAGGCTACATCGCGCTGAGCGGTGGTCTCATCAACTTCAACAAGTACCTCATGCACAAGGGGCGCTTCCCGCACCCCATGGCGCTGACGGCCATGCACATGTTCGCCAGCCTGGTGCTCACCTCGCTGGTGCTGCTGGTGCGGCCGTCCGCCATGCCAAGCGTGGAGGCGTGCAAGGGGAAGATGACGAAGCTCTACAAGTATCTGGCGCCAATCGGCTTCCTCTTCGCAATCATGCTGTACGGCTCCAACAGGGCCTACCTGTACTGCAGCGTCGCGTTCCTGCAGTTCATGAAGGAGGCTAACGTCGTGCTCGTCTTCACCTTCTCCGCGCTGGCTGGGCTGCAGTTCTTCAACCGCCAGCGCGTCATCGTGATCGCTTGGGTGATCCTGGGCTCCTCCCTCTGCGTTCACGGGGAGCTGAACTTCGTGTTCATCGGCTTCGCGCTGCAGGGTGTGTCCCAGCTCGCCGAGTGCGCGAGGGCTGTCGTCGCCGAGCTTGTGCTCACGGGGAGCGAGTTCAAGCTGGATCCGCTCAGCTACACCTTCTTCATGGCCCCCGTGTGCCTGATCGTCCTTGGCATCGGAAACGTCATCACCTGGGACCATTCTGTCATCACCGACCTGGCGGTGTGGTGGCCGTACCTCATCCCGAACGCCTGCATCGCGTTCTGCCTCAACGTGATGATCGCCCAGGTGATCAAGGAGACCTCGGCGGTGGGGTTCATCATCACCGGAGTGGTGAAGGACATCTGCCTGGTCGTCTTCTCTTCGGTGTTCTTCCACGACTCGATCACCGCTAATCAGTGGCTCTCCTTCTCCGTCACGCTCAGCGGGGTCTTCTTCTGGTCGTTCATGAAGGTCTTCCCAGACCACGCGGCGGTGAAGACCTTCGAGAAGATGGTGGGCATTGGCTACGGCCCGTTCCCAGGCGCGCCGCTGGGGAAGAAGCAGATCGAGAGCGAGGCCACGCCGCTGCTGGGGGAGAAGAAGGTCTGATCGGTGCCCGCCCGCGTCACGTTTTTCGGGCCCACTGCCGCTACCCTCAGGCAGTTCGGAGCTTGGTGTCAGAGGAAAACAGGTATGCGTGTGTATGTATGTTCTCCAATCAGAGCTTGCCTCTGTTGGGGTCTTAGCGGATTCATATGGTTAGGTGTGCTTTGCCGCCGATTTCCGCGGCCCGCCCGGGTACCCAGGTGCCCGGGTGCCCGGGTGTCCCGGTGCCCGGGTGCCCGGGTGCCCGGGTGCTTTATAGCTCTATAGCCCTATATCACTTTCGACCTATAGTCCTATAGCCCTATAGCCCTCTGGTCTTATAGCCCTATCGCCCCATAGCCCAATAGCCCTTTTGCCCTGGAGCCCTCTTGCCCTATAGGCCTATAGCCCGAAAGCCTTGTAGCCTGATAGCCCTAGAGCCATATCGCCCTTGAGCCCTAGCTCAATAGCCCTGTAGCCCTACTGCCCTATAGCCCTACAGCCCTACCGCCCGAGAGCCCTATAGTCCAAGAGCCCTGTAGCCCCAAAACCCCATAGCCCAATAGCCCTATAGGCCCTATAACCCTATAGCCCTTTAGCCCAATAGCCCAATAGCCCTATAGCCTTATTTCACTATATCCCGATAGCCCTATAGCCCTATATCCTTATAACCTTATCGCCCTATAGCCCTAGAGTCCTATAGCCCCAAAGCTCTATATGCCTATAGCCCTATAGCCCTACAGCTCTATATGCCTATATCCCTATAGCCCCCAAACCCTATGGACCTATAGCCCAATAGCCCCATAGCCCTGTAGACTCATAGCCCTATGGTCCTACAGCCCAAAAGCCCCATAGCCCTGGAGCCCCATAGCCCCAGAGCCCTCTCGCCCTACAGCCCTTTTGTCCTATGGCCCTCTTGCCTCATAGCCCTAGATACCTTCAGCCCCATGGCCCATAGCCCTCTTGTTCCAGAGCCCTTTTGCCCCATAGCCCCATCGCCCTCTTTCCCCAAAGCCCCTTAGCTGTATAA